CTGCAAGTTTGCTAAACATGCGTGCTGGGACAAAACCCAGAATCCCATCTGACAAATTGCGTTTGTTCACTTCCCAGGGAGACTGTTCTGTGTCTCCATGACACGATGCTGGTAAAACTAACAAAAAGGAGACCTCTGTTAGACATGACTAACAATAAAAGGGACTCCAGTTCCTAACTTTATTTTTCCTGAATTCTGTTCTCCTCTCCAACTATTACTTTGTGGAAGGCTTGTGGTATAGGAGTAAAGTAAGAAAAGGGAAAATATAAGGCGGGAAATATTGCCTGGAGTTTCTAGAGCTGTGACCTGTTATTTCAGATACCCAGGCTTGGACTGGAACCTCATTGTGCTGGCAGTCTATGCGCACATATTGGAAAAAAAAGGTGGACCCTCTTCCCATGAAGCTACAATCTAAGTGAAATGAAGTTTAAATTAAACAAACAATCTCTGACTATGCTTTTGTAACATCTAAACAAATAATTGGTTTGCACGTGCTTTTATCTATGTTTATTTAGATCACTGTAGTAACCTATAGGACCAAGGAAATATGAAGGAGATAACCCCTCACCATGCAATTTCTATAATCTTAATATTGGGCTATATGATTAAAAGGATTATTTGATGGCAATGTTTTTGGTTTGCTATTGAAGGACATTCTGGATGGCAGAGATCTGCAGGCTCCTTGTTGGCAAGCAGCTGGAATCGCAGCAATGACGCAATTTTTGTGTAGCTGTCAAACAAGGGACCCTCTCACTGTGTTAGCTGGATTCCTTCTTTGTTATCATTGTTCAGATCCAATTAGTCACTGCTTTCAACTTAAGGGATCCAACTGGCTGATTGGACTGAAAGAGACATAAGAACAACAGAAACCCAAACTGGTGGTACAAGAGGAAGAATAGGATATATTTTTTATAATGTGAAGTGCCTCAGTAAGTCAATTGCATGATTTAACTAAACCTTAATTGTACCAAAACAACAGAAAGCAATCAGAAAGGGTCTGTTATGATTCATTACATGCCAGAAATATGAGAGATGGAAATGAACTAATCCAGAAATCTGTTACTATAAGTGAGCTCCCCATGGAGCCTGTTTTAATTGTCTTATACCACAAAACATGGAAGAGACAGGTCTATAGACAACCAAAGCAGCTGTTCTCTGCTATCTCCCCTTTATTCAGCACTGATGAGGCCACATCTGGAGTACTGGGTCCAGGTCCGGGCTCCCCAATACAAGAGAAACATGGACATACTGGACAGAGTCCCGTGAAGGGCCACAAAGACGATGAAGGGACTGGAACATGTCTCCTGTGAAGAAAGGCTGAGAGAGCTGGGACTGTTCAGCCTGGAGAAGGCTCAGGGGGATCTCATCAATGTATATAAATGCTGAATGGGAGGGAATGAAGAAGATGGAGCCAGGCTCTTTTCAGTGGTGCCCATGACAGGAGGAGAGGCAATGGGCTCAAACTGAAGCACAGGAGGTTCCCTCTGAACATCAGGAAACACTTTTTTCACTGTGAGGGTCACTGAGCACTGGTACAGGTCGCCCAGAGAGATAGTGGAGTCTCCACCCTTGGAGATCTTCAGAAGTCATCTGGACAAAGAGACTGATTCACTCATTCAGGACTTCCCATTCGGATGCTGGTTATGGTGCAAGAGAAGGGATGCCGTAACACAGTTTGACATAAGGCTCCTTACACTATGTTCAAATATCAAACATGCCTTCCGAGACAAGGCAGAGGCATGGAACAACAGATTCTAAAATGCTGAGATGTATACTACAGAGGTGTCCTTGACCTTCCTGATAACAGAACTGCTGATGACACACCAGCAACAGAAAAACTGCTTGTGCCCAACATAAAACAGCAGAAAATCCTTGCAAATGTATTCTAATCTGTGCATGCCCCCAGGTCCCATCCACTTCCTCACAGCTGGTACAGTTAGAAAAATACTGAGTTATGAAACATACCACATTAGGACATATCTTGCCTACTTTGCTGAGTACTGGGACGGACATACTTCTATGTTAACTAAACCCCAGCTCATTCTTCCCCTCTGTACTGGTCCATGGCTCAGCTGAAAGAAGAACTACTTTTTAAATGTAAAAGAAAAGCAGAACTAAACATGCTTGTCCAGAGAAGATTCAGAAAGGGGAATCTCCTGCAGAGCATATCTCCACGGCCCAATGCAGCTGAGATCTCTGGGCTGCTGCCAGCGCAGGTAGCTCAGACATCAGACCCAGCACAGCCATGTAAAGGGAGAGCATTGTGCAAGACAATCTACTCTGAATGAAATAGCTGTAGTGCTTCTCCTATCCCATCTAGCCTGTTGAACTGCCTTTGATGTCCATACACTGCACTGCATTGGAACCAGAGAATGAAGTATGTGTTTTATTAAACCTCAAAATGAAAGCATGCTTTTCTGTTACATGAACAATAACATTCTTTGATGTCTCAGGAAGAGTCGCCTACCAAGTAAATGGTTTGAAGCGATCAAATGATTGACCATGAGGACTAAGAGAAGGTTTATCATGTCAGATGTTCAAAATTCATTTATGTATAGTGCTGCTTCTTTATTATCATTTTGATAATAAATTTTGATTTGATCTTTGCATTGAAAAAGTCATATAGGGCTGAGGCTGAAAACTCCTGAACTCTGCTTTATAACATGCTGGTAATTCTCAAATTCTGAAGACATTACAGTCTAAGCATACTGATTTTTATACTGATTTCAAAGAGTTGATATAACTCGATACTTTCCAGAATTTTGCCATTACTATCTCTCATCTCTTGTCTCAATGAGAACAATTAGACAAAGGTGGTAAAGAAGTAATGCTACTGCAGACTTTCAGAACAGCTGTGAATAGACTCCTATTTCAATTCATGTTATGTATTCACTGCAGATGTTATTATTTATTGCAAAAAGGAAATGCGATACTCTTACAAGTCCAGCGTAAATGTTACATGCCACATTAACAGTAGTTCAACTTGTCTTCCATCTAGAAATAGATTTCAATTAAATAACACTTTTTCACAGACAGAAAGCTACAGCCTTCTCATTAGTCAGCCAGGGATATTCCAACTTGCCACACAGTTAATTGCCATCTGAAATTTATGTTTTAATTCCTGTTAGTTTTCATTTCTTCATCTACTCCCACAGGCTGTCACAAACATCAATAGAAGGTGGACAATCAAAGCATTCCACCCCCTTCCCATCCCTGTTTTCTACTTCTTCAGCCCACTACGCCTAGACCCAGATTACATCGCCATGCTATTCCCCTCTACAGTCAGCCCCTCAGCACAAAGCTTTAACTCCAGGTATTAAAAATGCAAAGGAGTATACCAGCTTTCCTTCAGCTCATGACTTTCAGTTGCTGGTTTTCCTTGCTCTAGGATTAGAATTTGACAGCAATTTACTAACACACAATGCAAAATACTCTCTGTGTAAACAGTGCCTATACTCTTCCTCCCTTGCTTCCCATTTTATCTTTTTATTTTTCGTTTGCCTTGCTCACTGCCCCACTGCAGTTCTTTTTTTCCCCATTTGATCATCTCTTTTCCTGCTCCACACTTATTCTACACTCTCTTCCAAAGCTCAAAATATTAAGAGTTCAAAGCTGAGCCTGAAAAGCAAGATATTCAAATGGATCTGATACCCAGCATCTAACCATAAATAAAAGGTAGATATTGTCTCAGATGTAAAAGCAAAGGGAAAAACATTGTTTCAGATAAGTTTGCACTCTTCAAATGCTCACTCTGTTCTTGTGTTTAAGCTACACGAAGAAAGCAACTTTGGGGAAAAGCTAATGCACAAAACAAGAAAGAAAAGAAAAGCTCATGATCAAGCTTCTGAGGAATTACCTTCCAGTGAAACACCTTCTGACTTCTTTTACCATACTGCCTTCTTTCCAAATATCCCTCATTTTTTAAAAATGCCTGTCTATGCATTTCTTAATGTCACAGCTAGAATCCCTCACTCCTAATACCTTCCCACCTCCACATCCTCTTTTTCATAGAATCATAGAATGGTTTGGCTTCAAAGGGACCTTAAAGACCATCTAGTTCCCAACCCCCTGCCATGGGCAGGGACACCCTCCACTAGACCATGTTGCCCAAAGCCCCATCCAGCCTGGCCTTGAACCCTTCCAGGGATGGGGCATCCACAACTTCTCTGGGCAACCTGTTCCAGTACCTCACCACCCTCACAGGGAAGAATTTCTTCCTAACATCTAATCTAAATCGACCCTCTTTTAGTTTAAACCCATTACCCCTCGTCCTATCCCTACACTACCTGATAAACAGTACCTCTCCAGCTTTCCTGTAGGTCCCTTTAGGCACTGGAAGGCTGCTATAAGGTCTTCCCGGCACCTTCTTTTCTCCAGGCTGAACAACCCCAACTCTCAGCCTGTTTCAAGACAGCCTTCTTCATTCTCAATATATCCTTAAGGGTTATGATCAACCTGTCTTGATGCTGCTTCAGCAAGCACTGGAGGGCATTCATACAGTTATAGGAAGGGGTTCAGAAGCAGCACACGCCACTAATGTTGACAGCACATGCTCAAGTGATTCCTCTCAAATAGGGACCGTAGTCCCAAGACACTATTATGGTGATAACAAGCAAACCTATTCAGAAATTAACCTTCTAATCCCTTTAGTATTTTCACAATTTTCTTGAACAGAAAACATTTTGAAACACTAACTAAACTCTGAGCAATCTACATATACTATTCTTATTTTCCTGTAAATCGCTTTTTGGCATAAAAATCCATTTTAATGCATTTTGCCATCCCTCAAAAAGGTGAGTTATCACACGGGCTTCATTACCAAGCAGATGTAAAATAGAAGGGCTACATAGTAACAGCATGTGTCTATATTACAATACTCACTGAATTCTCATTTGAACATGTGACTTCTTCAGTACATCAACCATCAGCATTTTTTACATCTCTTTACCAGGCTTATTGGAAAAAGCTGGTTTTGCCACAGATGATTCCAAGATACTTACCCAGTTGTGTAAGGTATATTTATTCCCCCTAGATTAATGCTTTCACATCCAACAATGAAGAGAGTTGAAAAGCACAACAGAGAGACACCACTGCAGATCATAGCCAACTTTGCAGACTCTCTCGCACCGAGTTTCAGTTTTTTTATAATGTAGCCACCTAGGACGATACCAACACCAGCACTTGGGACAATAATCACACCTGCCAGGAAGAAAATTGAGCAACGTTAAAACAGGACCTATAGAAAGGGTATAAAACATAAATATTGGTTTCATTCCGTAATCAGATGACTACAAATGCTGCACTAAGATCTCCATTGTCTGGTTCTCCGCTAGCAAACTGAGTCAGACTTTTCAAACCTCTGGAGTGTTGTCAAAGAATTAATAAAAGCCTCCTTATGATATTACCAGCAGCCAAAGCACTATAAGAGAACTATTGTACTTACAAGCAGAAACATTGCTTTGTATTTATTTTAGAATGGGGAGAAGGGATACACATTGCTCCAGTTTAATTACTGCAAATTTGAAGAAATCCAGATTTGGAGACGAACCTTCCTCTTCCTACTCTCATGATTAATTCCAGCGAAGCACAAGTGTTAATCCCAGGCAGGACCCAGAAGCTTCCCACCTGGGAGTGCAGGCGTGAGCCCGGCTGCACGTGCTGCCTCCTGGGTGCTTTAGTCAAGTTGAAAGGCATGTTCCGACATCGGCAGCCCCATTCATCTCAGCACAGCCACGTGGAGTGTGAACTGATCGAACATGATTAAAGAAATTAAGATACTAGAATTGGTATCAGGGTAAGTTTAAGATCCAAAAGACGTGCCTATGAAATTTCTGTCCCTCCGTTGCTGTTTTAAGGTGGCAGTTCAGCAACATGTCACAGGGCTGTCCTCACTCGTCAGGGCCTGAGGTGCTGTTAGGTCAGCGAATGTCTTGCACTTCTTCACTTCCCTGGGCTTTTGCTTCTCACTGACATGAGAAGGTCTTTAAATTAGGTCTTTGCTAATAAAGATGTGTTCCACATAAATACAGAATTTGAATAACTTTTGGCAGCTGCATCTAGGGAGAAGGAGCTAAACTTTATAATCCAAATTCTTAAAGATGTTGGTCTTCTTTTTAAAGAAGCCACTAAGACTATCATTTGCAAATATCTTTAATACTACTGCAAAGCATTCTCATTCTCCACTAATATGTCTAAAGGTGAAGGGGATATTATATTTATCAAAATATCATGAAAGTAAAAGTGAGAGGTAAAAACAGTTGCCACCTTAATTATACTGCCATCACCAATGGCATTACAAAATAAAATGTCATTTCATGAGGATGATTCTTAATAATAACAACTCTTCACAGAATCAAAACCAGTCTTTATCATAAGACCAGAAATTAAACGTATAAACCCTTCTAGGAGAATTAAATTATTTTCACAAAGTTCAAAGCTGTTATCTCTCTCGAGCTGTCAGATCTCTCACTTTCAATGACTGAATATGAACGAGGGAGAGAAATAATGCAAATCCTTTCACTTGCACTGAAAATGTTCTCTCCAGGTAAAAATGGTAACTCAGCCATCTGAGCATACCAGGCATACCCTGCTCCACGAAATCTGTGCCACAGGCTGGGCACACCTGCAGTGCCTTCTATAACACCCCTCTCAGGTGAACCAAATTCCACAGGCCAAATCCATGGCTGCATCCGTTATATGAGCTAAGGATCTAGCCCAAAGTAAGGGCTTACTGACAATAAATTATCCTCAGTATTTTATTCTTCTTCCTTCCACCATATAGCTTAGCTTTGAGTTCTTATCCTCTTTTGGACCACACTTTGCTTTTTCTTTCTTATTCTCTTGAGGGCACAAATACTGGAGAAGCCTTTCACTAGAAGTGAGACCCTGTGTGTCTATGTGTAGTACCTTGCCAAAACTGAGCATGTAAATATTTTGTGAGGCACTAGGTTAGTGGTTCTTCCATTAGTGAGTTAAACTGCACTGCTGTTTTTATCCATCCTCTGCCACACCATGAAGACCAGAACATTAAAAATGAGGAGAAGAACATGAGCAAATTGTCTGCTGAGGCTTGCTCTCATTCAGGAGGATGGAAAGGTAAAGGAAAGCCTACACAGAAGAAGTATAAAGACCAATTCCTCCATGCAAAGCGGAGCTGGGGATAGAAAAACTCTCTCTCTAGGAGAAACTGGAAGGGCAGAAGCAGATTTCACTGTCTGTGGTGAAGGCGGCAGAGAGAAGCGCTCATTCCCTCATACGTGTCGGGAAGCCTGACAGGTTCTTTTGCCCTAAGTACAAACTCTTCATCCTTATGCCCCTCTCTTTCCACAGGGGATATGAAATCAGAAGTGATGTACTGTCAAAGAAACGCAGCTACCACAGAGCACTTCTAGACAAGCTTCCAGGGCAAAGCAAAGCATGTACATCTAATCACGACATACATTCTTCTGTTTCAAAGGCATTTAGAGGAATAAAGCTTAAGATCTGATACTAAGCTGTTGCACTGCACTCTCCTTCATTTTATAATGACAGTTTGGCTTACAGGAATTGTACATTTGCCAAATATACTCCTGGATACAGTGCTCTGAGGCAGTATCGGCTTTCAGTCAGCAATTTTCAAGCTTTGTCCTTTTTTACTGTTGTCAGGATGCTGCGGCACTTGAGGCTTTCCACAGTGGCAAAAGATGATCTTAACAGCTACAAATTTTCTGGGAACAGAAAACTGCAATATCTGCTAAGCGGGCTACACTTCCAAAGGGAATATCGTGGAGATCTTCAAACCAATTCTGAGATATATGTTTTGTCTTTTTGAGAACTAAAGGCAGATGCAATGCGTTTATAACTATTTTAGCAGAAGTTAACAGAGTGGTACTTTATAATATATAGCGTGCAGTTCTTACAAATTATTTGAATCGTAACTCTCTCTTTCACAAGTAAATCCAATAGTAAAGCTCCTGAAATTTTAACGTGAATTTGTCTAAGATCTACCTGTAGCCAAATATCAATGTTCATTTTTTTGGGGGACTTGAGAAAGCCTGGAGGCTGAACGCCACCTGCTCTACACATGGAAAACAAAACTCCAAACAAGACAAGACTGCAGCACAAGCTGCACAAGTTCCGGACATGCAGTTTGGCACATGGCGTTTTTGCTGATGATTAATGCTAGGTTTGTTTAAAAATAGCAACAAATTGAGACTTAATTAAAGAATTCCTGCTTATGAACTGAGAGGCAAAATGACAAATAAAAATTTTACATCAGTAACATAAAGAGATTCAGCAAGCACATGTACTCAGCTGCCAATGCACATATGAAGTAATATAGATAACATGTAAGTCCTCCTTTTGCTAATCAGAAGTTTGTAAACTGGACAAGTTTTTTACTAGATTACCCCATAGCAATCCAATACAGAATCTCCAAGTTTCCTTTTCCTATTTTTCCTACAAAAAGAATTTATAAAATTAAAAACAACTGCTGACTTTAATGCTAAGTTTAGGAGTTGGGGTTGTGGAAGCAGTGTTCACTTGTCCATGTTGCACATCCAGCTTGAGCTATTTCATCTTCTTCTTCTAGTTCATTAAAATAGTCTTTCTCAAGCAATTTATAACAGGGAAAACAACAGATGTTAATAGCTTGACACCCTGGTTAAGGTCATGTCATTTTTTCCTCTTTTAATGTACTGGCTGTTGAATATTTTGTCTGGCGAGAATGTTTCTGGTTTATCCTGAGAACGAAGCGAGTTATGGAGCAGGAATCACATCAAGACTCATTACAGCAAAACTCCTATGTGTGTGTAGCTACGCTAAGCCTCAGATAGAATCACGGTCCCATCAATCAGTGTTTTCCCCGTATATACAGAACACAGGGATTTCATGCCCTGAAGAAAATCTCATCCCAGCAAGCTCTCAAGCAGAAGTCACCACACGGTGCACCACATGGTGCTTCTCTGATGTTTCCTGCTCTGCACTCTAGCAAGACTCCTTGCTTTTCTTCCAGCCACTGCAGGTGACAAATGATTCCCATGTGAGATGCCTGCATCTGTCTCTCTTCTACTGCTTTTTGTCTTTTCCTTGACTGATGTCCTGGGGCAGCTTCACCCCATACTTTACCCCTGTTCCCACAACTATCTCTCCACTCCATCACTCCTTCTCACGTGCAGTATCTGGAAGTATGGGGGAGCAAAGAACTAACCTGCCTAGCAATTAGCAGCTATTCTATATGGGAAGTACTACAGAGAAGTCAAAAAGATGCATACAAAACCAAGTATTGTTGATGCAGCTAGGAGAGAAGGAAGATGATCTGCATGACATGGGTCCCAATTCTGCACAACATTTTGGCCCCTTTCCCTAGGGAAGTTCCCATCTCTCCCTCCCGCAGAGCAGGGCAAAGCTTAAAATTTTGTGGTTTGTAGCTCTGTTAGAAGTTGGACTTGGCTGTACGTTGCTGCAGCAGCAGGGGAAGTGCCGCACCTGCAAAGGAGGGGTCTCAGACCTGAAATGACAGGCGGGAGAGGATTTGGGGAGCTCTCCTGACCAGACTAGATCATTGTGCACTCAATGTTACTAAGGAGAAAACCACCAGCCTGGAGGGGAGAAATAAATGAAAGATGGGACAGAAAAACAACTTGTCACTGGGGAAAAAGAAAGATTAGGATATTTTAAAGATCAAAGGCAAAATTCACATAAAATAAGAACAGCTTTAAAAGATCTTTTAAGGCACACAAACTGCAGTAATGCCTGCGGGCTTTCTAGCTTGCTTTTGTTGCATTTTTCCTCCCTGAAGACCATTAACACATTAGAAAATGTCTGTCTAGGCTTAAGTAAAAATACCCCAGCCCTTTAACAATATAAATGGGTTCATGTTTTACTAAACACATATAGCAAACACCAAAGAACAGCCTGAATATCTAACCAAATACATAAAGCTGGATCCAATCACCTGTTCTAACAAGCATGGTTTTGGTTCATTCCTACATTGATTCATTTCATTAGTCAAAGAACGCCAACCTTTTCACCGTTACACTATGTGGCAATGCCTTACCAGTGTAGATGCTGGCATTTGAAGCTGGGATGCCAAACTGTGACTCGATGAACTTGGGAATGAAGGTAATAAAAGCTGTAACAATGGCACTCTCAGCTGTGTATGACAAACTCACAAAAAGGAATGTCATGTTGCTTAAGATCCTGACAGCTGCTCTTGGAAGCTCTATAAAATGACAAAAATGACAAACGAACGTTATAAATAATGAGCGAGAAACAAATGCAAACTGAAACAAAACAAATTGATTTTCTTTGAGATGGACTGGCAATAATGGCTTGCTAGCATCTGGTTACATTTGCTAAGCGGAAGGGAGAGTGCATATTTGGGATTGCAATCTTTGCTGTCTGCTCTTACCCTATCTCACTGCATCGCCCTGAGGCTGCAGTGCTGCTTTTCCCAAATACAACTGAGGTCTGTTTTAGCAAAACCATCTGAAGAAGCCAGGCCTACATAGTAACACTACAAAGGATAGCAAATCAGCAAGAAAATATAGCAAATCTGGAATTATTCCGATGTCTTATTTTGAAATTTTCTAAGAGATAACACATACCACACTGCTGAACAGGGACTACTACCACAGGAGGAAAACAGATCACATACTCCCTCTGTAACTCTCTGCTTTAAGGACCACACTTGGAAAGCTGGGATAACACTATTATAATTTGTAAAGGGAATCAAATGATTTTTAAGTAAACATTTTTCTACATGATTTAAAAGTATTTACAATAGATGTAAATTTGTAAATACAAAGCATAGTGAAAAAATTATGTCAATGATATCAATGAATCTCAACACACCTCACACAAAACTCATTTTATATTCTCAGAAGGGATAAAACAATCAATTAAAAATGAAAGCACATCATTAACTTAAATTGGAAAAGTATTCATAGGTGTTGCAATTATCCTTAAACCAAATATCAAAACCCCAAGAAATTCAGCACTGTAGTTAAAAGAAACACTTAAATACTTTTAATTCAGTCCTATAGTGATGTCAAATTATCATCACCAGATGATGATAGCTCTATTCAAGACTTAATTTTTTTTTCAGATTAGATGGTATAATTTTTAAGATTTTTATTTTTTTTTCCTTCCCTTGGGGCTTCTACTGACATCAGATTTTCTGTTCAAGTATTATATCCAGCCTACTGTGGTTTGGGTTTTTTCATCTGTTTTTCACTTTGCATGGAAATTGAACACTGCTTGAACTAAAGCCCATTGAATTCAATGACAAGAGCACCCATTAGAAATACATGTCGAGCAAGAACTCCTGAGTGAGAATGTCATTGATGTTAAAAGTTGTCAAGTCAAAAATCTGTGTCTCTTCCTCTATTGACTCCAGTATGTTATCTGTATAAAAGCAAACAGAATTTAGACTCTTGTCATGTCAAAACTTGTCAGGCTGCAAATTAGCACCTAAGTTGTCTGACTGTATCCAGTCTTAGCGTATGCCACTCATCAAAATTTATACCGAATTCATTATGAGTGCAGGGTTTATAATTTTAATGTAGTCAAATGCTCTCTTGCTGCCTCAAAGAAGAGAAATATTAAATGTTAAATACAAAATTTGATGGAAATAAGTAATGAATAAATCATATTAAGAAGCACTCATATATTTGAATCTTAATGATTTTGCCACCCACAGCTTTTTTTAAAAAAATGTGATGCTGCTTGCAACAGAACAGAAAGAAACAAGGTAACAAGAGTATGAGACAATATAATATCAACATGAATATATGGAAACTGTAATGCAACCGTACACCTTCAGAAAGTACAATACAGTAGCAAGTACACAGATAAAATAGTATCAGTATTTATCAGCAAATATGTTGCACGTTCAAAATACAGCTGATCAAAACTTATTGTTCAAAAGGAAATGAAAGAGAGAAAAAAGTGAAGTATCTACAATACCATCAGATGTCAGCCCTCAAACCTCATCAGCTTTGGCGTTGTGTCTATTTTTGGGCTGGGTTGGGTTGGAGTGGGGTAGCTGTTGGGGGCTTAGATGCAAAAAGAAATCAAAGGGCAAGAGCCAAGATGCTCTGACTCAGCTTTTTGCAAAGCCTCTCACAGGCTGGGTGACGCAGTTTAAGACAAACGGCTGCCACAGGACTGCACCTGTAGCAGATCTCCCCCAGGGACAAGGTGCAGGATTGAGAGCTTCTCCTCCTGCTCCAGCAGCAAGCAGTTACGGCCGTGCTGCTGCCCCTCGGAGAAAAGAGCCAGGAAAAAGAAAGAGGGGGTGCCAGGATCAGTCCTGCTGGAGACCGAGCTATTTGGTGGCAGCTGCTCACCTGTGCTGAAAAACATGAAAGAAAATAGTAAGATAGTAACTTTCGGAAGACTGGACGTCACAGAGAGAAATGTAATTTTATGAGGAGGATGCACTAAGTGCTCTTTGTAGAAATGAACTGGAAGTGCTTGGCCAAGGACTGCGTCCAAGATCTTTGCTAAACCCATTAAAGGGTCTGGTCCAAATATTATAACGCCTAGTAAAGTTCAGCTCTTCCTCGTAAAACTGAATTTCAGGAAAATGTATGATTCAGAATTTTCAATCTAGAGATACTGAAGAACCAATTAGGTAAAAAAACTGCAGAACTAATGAACATTTTGCTCTGGTGTTTGGATGTAGAGCTGTATTTTCAGTTGACTCCTACTTGCATCTCATTTGAGCACTCAGTCTAAAGGTCATTATTAATTTCAAAACTAATTAGTACTTTCAAATTGTATTTCTAGTGATAAATAGATTAAAAAAGTGTCTTGGAATAAACACAAGTTCTCTTACACCCGCGTGAAGGATTCTTCACGGAACAGCTCTGCTGATTACTGTATTTTTTGGCATGAAATAAAACAGAGATTATTCCTGTGTGCTGCACTAATACATACCACCTGGAGCAGTTGAGGGTTGAAGCTTTTTGTGATTTATAAAGGGCAACTGCCTGGCATATCAGGAAAAGTTGCTATAAAGACATTTGCAAATAAAAATACATATTCAGAATTAGGTTTTCCTTGATTTCCTCCTATGATTATAGTCAAATCCTGTGTGACAGAATCTGTATTACACTTCTGAATTTAAAAACCTCTAACAGAAAGGCACTATAAGTATCTCATATTTTTCAATCACACTAATTCTACTAAAAAGCAAGAATGCTAAAAACTTTAAGGATCCTTTGTACTACATAATCAATCGTGCATTTAAAACATTTCAATGTCACATTAGTTTTGTGTGATTAGCCATAGGCCTGGGCTTTGATTTCAAGGCCACTATTAAACCTGTCTGATTTTTAGGAGGTCTTCAAAAATATCTCGTTTTTGCAAGTATGCATCAGAAACAAACCTATGAGAACCTGCAGTTTCCCTCATTCTGTCATTTGAACAAGTAAATCTCTATCAATTACATTCCAAAAACTGAAATGATCTGTTAGCATGGCTGCAAACATGTTTACACTTCTGTGTAGTAATTTAAATCTCAAACATCCTCATCTTTTTAGGTTTTTCTTTTTTTTTTTTTTTTTTAAATAACCTAACATGCAACTAAGAGTAAATTGAAAACTGTCTTGCTGGACTGGTTTGCTAGTCTACTGGTAATTTTCTCCCCTTCATGGTCTTTGATGACATTTTTTCTTTATTCAGTATTAATTTTCTTTCACTAATGTGCTGGACCACTGCTTGATTCATGCTAAGGAAAAAGCATCAGAAAAATCTGCAAGCAGTACAAATATTCATAAATACTGCTGTAAGCAAAACTCTTAAAGCACTGTAAACAGAATTTCAATAAAAACTCAAATAGTTCTGACTTCACCTCCTTTTTCATAATTTAATATATTTTCTTTTATCCCTGTTCGTGTGCGTGTAGCCCAAGGCAGTGCAATGAATACAACCAGGGCAAAAAACCATCCCAATCTACAGCATGGTCCTCTTGTAGCCCATCAGCGAAGCCGCTCATAAGGGTGACGCAGATATTAGCCAAAGGACCTCCTTTCTGCTGGTGCTCCAAGCCCGGACAGCACTGTCCGAGTCTGCAGCTTTGAAGGAGGCTGCCTCCACACCGAGGTCTCAGGGGCAGCTCCTGCTCCCAGGCAGTACAAGGCAGAGCCAAGATTTGAGACAGAATTTCTGATTTATCAGAATAGAAATGAGCATTTTCAGTCACACGTGACTACTTGAAAATATATTCTGCACGGAGCTAATCACTAAATTCTAGAAGAATATTTTGCCATGTGTTTCATTTCATTATCTACTCACATACCATTTAAACAACCTCATTCGACTTGATTCCTCAAGCATTTTCAGGACATGTCTTAAGTACCTGGGTGGTGGCCAGACCGTTGAACAGCCCTTAATATCCCATCAAGAGTAGGGAGATCTGGAGCGAGTCTGATCTGATTATTACTTTTGTTAACTTGATTTAGAGCAGCTCCTTGAGGCTCCAGCTAACACCGCTCATCACTGCACGGGGCCATGCCAACCCTTTCTATTTTGAGCTCTTCAAGATGGCCCAAGAAAGGGCGAGGGGGGAGCGACTCGCTCAAGGTCAATGGCACAGCAAGATCTCCAGCCCACGGTCTGCTGAACTCTCTGACATTTCCAGTGCTCCCCAAGCGCTCCCGCACACAGACCTCTCCCTCCTCCTCCTCTTCCGA